GAGTGCTCTCTAAGTGCTTGAAACCAGCGAGGCACGTTGATTCAGGCCCTCCAAATGTGCCCCCCGCCCTGCCTGCCTGCCCGCCCGCCCGCCCCGCTGCTTAGTTTTTGGAGGGGGGGTGCTGCCGCCTTCGTCCCCTTCTTGGCACCTCTGTTGGCTCTGGTCTAAAGGAAGGCGAGTTGGTTCCAGAGGAATGTGGGGAGCAGATCTCTCCCCCCCACCCCACATGCCCGCCGTTCTCTTCTCATCCTGCTCTTCATGGAGCTGAGCCTCCTCCTCCCTCCCTCCCTCTCTCCCTCCCTCCCTCCCTCCCTCCCAATGCCGCTGGGCCTGAGCTGACCCATGGCTTTCTGCTTTCGCTCTTTTTGCTGCCCTTCTGAAGTCCCCAGTCCTCTCCCTGCCCTCCCAGCACATGCATAGGAGGGTAGACCATCAAAAGATACACAACTTCCACAAGTAAACAGTAGACATCAGTCTGTTGCAATACAATAACAATAAATTGAAGATACAATAGAATTGGTGGTCACAAATCAAAAGCGCTATTTGCAAATTCAAAATACAGTTTGATGATAGTGGAAAATATCCAACAAGAGACCCCTCTATATCCTTTGGATATAATCGTGTCCAAAAGACCTCAAAGTCCACAAAAAAAGGCAGAGGATGTCCCAAAGCACAAATAAACTTCTAACAGCTGAAAATGTCCTTCCCAGGCAGGGCTATTTTTGAGCAAGAACGCACAGGAACGGAGTTCCGGCTGGCTCCCAAGTTGGCCACGCCCAGCAGGAACTCATTAGCATAATAGGCCACACCCAACAGCAGAAACTCATTAGGATTGGCTACATTAGGGGTGTGTGGCCTAACATGCAAAGAAGTTCCTGCTACAAAAAAAGGCCCTAGGTTTTTACAACAAACAAGGTAAACAGAATAACAAAAGCAAAAAGTGGGTGTGGCTGGATAACCACACTTCTGGTAACTTGGGGGTTTAGCCTAATATGTTAATGTGCTGTGCTGTCAGGGGTGTGGCCTAATATGCTAATGAGTTCCTACCATTGGGTGTGGTCTATTATGCTAATGAGTTCCTGCTGGGTTTTTTCTACAAAAAGAGCCCTGTCAGGTATGCCAGACGTTTCAAAGCAATCTTCTTCAGTTGTACGGCTGAAAATGGAACCCAGTTTCCACAGTAAAGTAGGCACAGCTCATATCTCAAATGGAATCTGTGCCTCTGCAGTGGGACCCACTATCACCAACCCCTTGCCCACCTGCTTGCCCAGCCGTCTGCATGCACCGGCGTAATCTTCGGGGGGGCTGGGGGGCTGGCGCCCCCCCGAAATTTCCTAGAAACCCCGCCCACCAGGCAGAGGCGCCGTGCTTCGGGACGGGGTGGGGGCTAGGTGAGCCTTGGCGCGCCTCGGCGCGCCTCGGCGCATGGCTACTGCAGCGTCGCCGGAGCCTGGCTTTTGTTAGCGGGCGCCTCCGGGTTTGGGGGAAGGAGGAAAGAGCGCCCGGGAGCACGGCCGCCCTCCCCCCAGCTGCCCGGCAGACTCTAAAAAAGTTGGCGAGGACGGAGCAAAGCCTTCGGAAGCCGGGAAGCCCATTAGCGCAGCTACAGCCTCCCCAGGGACTGGGAGGGGAGGGAGAAACAGAGGCTGCCACTCAATCCCTCCCTCCTCAATTTCCCTCTCCCTGCCCAGCTCTCTGGCGCGCGTCGTAGCCCGGTGCTTTCCATTCCCCCTAGCACCCTCGCGGGGACAGCCCCGCTGGCGAGACGCTTTAATTAATTGCCCCCTAACAAGCACGGGGCGGGGGAATCTGTCGCGCTGGAGTGTCGCTGCAGCCCCAAGACCGCGTGACCTGGCTGGAGAGAGCCTGCCCTTTGCCCGGAGAAGTGCCTTCCCGCCGAGGCAGCGTGGCTGGCGGCCCGCCGGGACTCTCCGCCGCTCGGCCACAGTTCCCACACACACAGACACACACGCGCGCGCACCCCGCCCCTCGGCCTCCATGCGTGCGCCCTCGCAGGGACTCAGGGGAGGAGGAGGACGAGGAAGGGGCCCCGTGGCCGTGGGTGGCCCTGTTGCGGCACGGCGTGCCAGTCCAGCCTCGGGCGGGTTCTGCCTCGGGAAGGCTCCTTGGCTGCGTCGCGGCCCTGTGGACGGGCTCTCGGGTGCTCCAGAGGAAGGCTGAGCTTTGCGGACTCCACGGGAGAGGAGTGAACCCTGGGCTCAAAGGCCGCTCAGCACCACCTACGTGGGCCTGGGACAGATTCCACTTTGCTGTGGAGGACGGCCTCAGTGTGCAGGGTGGTCCCGCTTCTGGGGAAAGGGAGACCCCGCTTTCACCTGCACCACAAAGAAAGCCCTGAGTTCTGCAGCCCTCTACAGAGCAGGGAGAAAGGCTCTGTCTGTGCTAGTTTTCTTTTTGGTAGGTAGATGTACTGCATGGTTTTCAGTGTGGGGGGATGTTCCAGAATGTCCAGCAGAGGTCCATCAGTGGCTCTTAGCCACAAGGTATAGATAGGGGCTCTGGGGCAAGTGATGCTCTGTCTTCTTGGTGCTTGGGGGGGGTCAACAGTGGGAGGGCT